TAATTATATAACAATTTATATGGACTGATGGACTGGTGCATATCTAATTTGAATTATATTGGGTTTGATCTGAATCCGATTTGAATCCGATCGAATTTAATCCGAATCCAATTTGAATCCAATAATTTTGTAAATTTAAAATTCAATTTGATACGAATCCGATTAGATTAAAAATTTTGAAATTTGATCTGATCCGATTCGTATCCAATTCACAAATCGATCAGATTCAGATCAAAATTGTGAACATTATAGAAAAGTCAAAAAACATCTTTTCTACCCATAGCTAATGATAGGTCCCTAAAGTATTTAGCATACAAAATTTTGTAGATCATTTATGTCACTTTTTAAGGGGACAAAATTCATAGCTCCTTACTTCAATAGGGACAAAAGTCAGGAAATATTATAAATCAATAACTTGGAAAATAGAGAACAATTGTGGGTAGTTTTTTTATAGTTATTAATTTAAAAATTTTAATATTTCCTAGTAAGAGACATTTGACTTCTTTTGTCTCTGCCTCCTTCTTTAAGGACCCATCTTTATCAATAGCATGAAAGTTCTACAAGAAAAAAAACTAATAGTATAGTACTTGAAACCTTTTATAAACATCAAGCTATATTTTAAAATATCTGTTCACTATATTTTTCCTCTTATAGTTACTCAAAATTTTTTTAGTTTTCTAGGGAATTTTGCCTATCTCAGTTTGATACTGAATTTTAAATGACACAACCCATTGCAAATATGATTAGTGAATACAAAACATGTTCGTAGTTGAATGTAAACAAATTTCTACTAATTACCTTATATATTTTGATAATGTTATTAGTAAAAGAAAGAAAATTTATTGATGTAAATTCTTCAATCCTTCAAATGAAATGTAATTGAAGCAAAGAAATCATGAGGCCATTAGGATAAGCACTAAATTCCTTAGGTAGTGAAAAGATGATTATTTGTTCAAACTGAGATCTTTAACTTCTTATCATTCTGATTAGGTAAAGTACATGAAGGAGATTATTTTCTTATCCCGGTCAGGCAATAAGACTGAAAAGCAGAAGACTATAAGCCACTATGCTTCTCTAGGATTAAGAATGTATTTTCCCAGATATTATGTAATGATATTGTAATCAATGAGGATCCCTATACTCTGTGAGACCCTCTCACCATTGTAAAGAAAAAAGACTGTTAAAGAATCTGACTTTTGGACAATGGAAGATACTCACCAATAAAATTTCTTTAACTAGATATGGTTGCTGGAAGATATCGGTAATACATAATATGACTAAAAGATTATATAAGAACTTGGGATCTACTATAAGTTGTTAAGGTCTGCACAAGTGAATAAAAAATCAATACTGAAAGAAAGGAAGTGATGAGTAAGATGCTAGATCTGAGTAGACAATAAGTACCTCAGATGGTTACAAGAAAATAATTAAGATCATGAATGGATAAGTTCCTTAAATAGTCAAGAAGAAGAAGAATATTCTAGAAGTGTTGATTTCTAATGAGAAGAGATTTTTAGCAGAGATCCTTTGGAGGACATGGAACATTTTTATTTTTATTTTTTCTTTTTCTCTTCATAAATGCATATTTGTGCATTTTTAGATATTCCCTTCCTTTTATTTTTTCTTTTCCCTATTGTAGTTTCTTGAAATCAGTTTCTTGAAGGATAATAGGCAGTGACAACCTGCTAGCAATGATAGATAAGTTAGGAAGGTCTTTACTCAAAACTTATTTTGAAGCAAAATATTATCCCCAAGGTCGCATTTAAAGACTTAAACTCATTTGAGAATTGAAAGCTATTAACAAGTAAGTTAGCATGAGATTTAGTTTAGCCATGATATAATTATCCAATGTATCTCTATCAGTTTTCTTTAAGATTAATAAACACACTATGCTGGCCTGACCATGGGTTTAAAAAAAAAAAAGAAGTAAATTTCTTTAAATATATTTTTTTGAGAATTATATAAAAAAGATGTATTTAAAAAGTGTATGCATTTAAAGAAATAATTTTATTAAAAGTTTTACATAAACTTGATCAACCTTTTAGCAAAAAAAAACATAGCATATGCATTTATAAAGAATGCTTTAAAAAATTTCTTTGTATACTGTACATAAAGAATATTATGACTTGCTGAATATCCTTTTTAAGAATATTCTAAAACAAGTAGTATTATAATTTATATTACCTGTTGACTGCGAATTAAATAATGAATCTAATAGATCAATTATTTTAATGTCATTACCTAAATGAATTTGATTCTTTTAGGTATTAACCATAAACTCTAATAGAAAAGCGAGATATCGAATTAAAAAGTTAGATTATCCATATGAAATTCCTAGCAAAGTAATATGAATTGTAATCTTTTTCTTTCTATTTAATATCCCCACGACGCGCTTGACCGCCTCCCAACACACTTTCCATTTCCCAGATAGCCTCATTAACTGCATCATTGAGCTGTACGATCTTATTCTTAATATTTCGAGTTCTAGTAGTCAATGAGTTTTTACGAGTTTCGCGCAATTGCATCAAAGTTTTCGTGTCATTCAGCAGGAGAGTTGTCTTTAAATCATGCGTCATGGTAAGAAGGGTTTGACAAGCCCTTTCCTTTCATATTTTGATAAAAGTAAATTTGCTTAAATTCATATAAAAACGATAATATTTAAAGATGGTTAATGATTTACCAAGTTTGCAGCTCGTAATTCACCAATATATTCATCCAATGCATTTCTATACTTGTCTTTTTCCACTTCCTACATATTATAGATGAAGTTAACAACGTCTTTCGGTGCTGCTTCATGCGATATAGTTTTTCACAAACCCTGCTGTCATCCCTTCCAATATTCCTTAAGCTAACTTCAAATCCTGCTGCTTTAACCATGTCACGAAAACTAAATACTAATTGCTCCATTTCATTGTCAAGTTTTTTATTTAATTCATCTTCAATGTTGGAATAAAATTCATTCTGTGAGGCAGTAGTAGTCGTGGTTGCACTGTGAGCAGAAGTTATTTGCGCATCGGTGAATAAACGCGGACGTTGCATCTCGCCAAAATTTACTTGGAGGATACAATGGATTTTAGGTAATGATAATCACGAGAATATATCACGTGTATAATTCATAAAAGCACGCGCGACAGTAGGTTAAAAACCTCTTTCACCAAAAATCAAAAATTCACCATAATATGTCGGATACTGCCTCCACCCCAAGAATTAATTCTACGTTGTTGTCAAAATATCGCGGTGAAAAAGTTCGTCTTGTCGGACGCGTCAAGGAGGTTTCTATCACATCTTTTTTTTATATTTAACGTTTTATGATATGATAACTTTATAACTTGTATTTTAAGAGTTCTAGAAAACATGCTGTGTTGGAAGCTAGCGACAAAGGACAAGTCAAAATCATTTATTCCGAGGTTTGAAAAAATAATTTAAGAAACCTTTCATAGAGAAATCTTAGATCCATGATTTAATGAAAAAAATATATAATTAAAAGGATAAAATGCTTGAAGCGAACAAGATTGTTGAAGTCATAGGGCACGTTAAAGACGATAGTACCATACAAGAAATTCTTATTACGGAAATTAGTGATGGATTCGGTAAGATGTTTGTTAATTCTTACTCTTATTTTCCGCACGCCTAATTTCAATTAACTTAATTTTTTCACGCAGATCTCGATCTATACGAAAACGTTGTTCAATTAACACAAAAGTACCCGGAAATTTTTTTCTAAAATTAGCCTAGTTATATTAAGTTCGATAATGTAATATCAATTTAATTACGCGAATATTTTCCTATAATCATTGTACCCACCGCAAATTCTCACGGTTATCGTTCATTGTTATTCTTGACATTATGTATGTACAATTTTTGTGTGACTTTATCGGTACCATGTCGACGGGTACGTAATGCGCGTGACAAGATTTAAAGAAATGAATGATACACAATTTTAAGACACTTCCAATAGAACGCTATGTATTATATTTATTGAGTAATGTTGTCGCAACCATCGTCATGACTAACGACGCCTGGATGTGGTTGACTCCGTCGTGGGAACAAAGCTGTCCAACCTTTGCTGAATGTGCTGGAATATTTTCAAATGTAGGTGGACAAGCATATCTTGAACTGGCATATTTACAAGTCCTGTCGAAATAAAAAAGTGTAGAGTAAATCTCGGGATCACATGGTTAACAATAAATCAAAGAGGGGTCGAACCAACCTGGTGTACGAATGCACTTTCCACATTCTTTCTTTGGCTTTTTTTCCCAGTAAGCATGATTTTCGGGCAATATGACGAAGGAATTCTAAAATTTTAAATTTTTTCGTTAAATGACACCTTTTTATGTATGCATAAAAATTAAGAGAGAAAACACTCACTTCAGTGTACCAATTTAACAGATCAATTTTCTTGCTTATGGATGGAACAGGGTTCATTCCTGGTATCATCACGGAGCAGGCTACTCTACGCATAATTAGATTATCTACGAAGAGGGGTACATTGGTTGACTCATTCGTTCTTAGTGTCAAAAAAATATTTATTTGAAATAAGAAAATTACCTCGTTCGCTAATTAGGTCAACCAGACTCCTACAACCTCGACCTGCTCCGATGATGACCACTTTGGAGGGATTCGCGGTCCTACCGAATATTAAATATAATAAAGATTCACAATTTTCCGAAATCGGGAAATAATTGAATTATGCTTACTCCACGTAATTGTCCCATAGGTGTGTCAGCAAATCTTTTAGGTCTTGAACATCATTTCGCTGCAAGCTCTAATTTTATGGTGATACTATTTTTGAGTTGTGAACTCGATTGATCGACTTTCAAAGTTTAGGACTTACGTTGCTGGCTGGTGGAACATCCACATCAATAATACCATAATCTTTGCTCATAATGGTGTCGAGATAATAATATACCGTATCAATCTATTCACATTATTCATACAATTCGGGATATAAAGTCATTGGTTTTGAGAAAAATTTCCGAATCCATTCATCGTTCATTTGTTCTTACGAACCATGTACGATCCCGTCACATTAATTATATTTGTCGTAGCGTGTGTATCGGCTCTGAATGTCAGTCTAAAATAAGTTTCGTGAAATTTAATAAAAGACGTCGCGAAAACCCAGCGTACCTAAATTCTGACCTGAAGGTAGCAAAATATATTAATAAAGAAAAAATTCAATAGCAAATGATAATTTAGTTAATTTAACTCACATATCATGCACAAAGAAAACCATAACGTCTTTAGAATGCAAATTATTGCTAAAAATATGAGACAGAAATTAATAGATCTTTCGATAATGTATGATATGGCATCGAAATGGAAGAATGCTTCACCTGCAACAAGACAAATCTGTAAATCGACTGATCAATCGCTCATTTGGTAATGGCACAGATACCATCTTATATTTCGAATATAATAGCCGCGTTCGGTAAACTTTTAACATGTCTAATTCGAAAGAAGGTGTGTGACTCTTAGGACGCAAGGAGAAAAAAAAAAACCTCCCTTCCCCCCATCTCTAATAATTCATAATGATTGATTACCAATCATGCTGACCACAAATTTTCCTGGAGTTTTATCTGAAAGTTATAAGATGATGAGTGATATCATTCTCACGGGATCAATATTTTATATATAATTCGCAATACCTTCTGAGGCGTCAACATACTCCGGTGCAAGACTTGACCAATATCGCGACTGCACACGAATTACCTGATGAATCGTCTCTATACAATCTTGACTAGGCTTAATTGGTCCAAGTCTTGCAGGAGATTCGCCGAGCAAAACTTTTACACAAGCAAGAGCAGATTTTGATATGGACTCCAAATTATAACCGCCCTTGGTGTATAGAACGACGATAAGAACCATCTTCTCCATGCTAAATACAAAATGGGATTAGGATTACCTCTAAGGCGAGCACAAGTTTCCCACCAGCCAAGGACTTTAACATATGGGTCATGTGTCCATACGCGACTGGTGACACGTGATTCTCTCCCATCGGATCACCTGCAAAGCAACATCATTCTCGAACATTGATTCAGAAATATGCGCAGTGACTAAGTGCGTCTCTCATTCGCATACCTTCCGCTGCGTCAAACCCTGCCGAAACAATTACAATATCGGGATCGAATTCAAAAGCAATGGGCATTACCACTTTATTAAAAGCATATATGTAATCGCTATCACACATCCCGGGGCGAGGCCAGGGTATATTTATGGTTCTTTCGAGGACGAAAAAAATTTTTTTTTAGCTAGAACGCGTGAATTATTACGACATTTGAAGGAGTTTGAAAAGCTACACTTACTTCCCTTTGGCATTTCCTCCGCCCACGTGGGTATGGCTAGCCTGTTTGTCGCCAGGATAAAAATGCGCGTTTTCATATCGATGTATCGAACAATATACCACATTTGGATCGTTGTAAAACGCCTTTTGAGTACCATTACCTGTTCACCCAAAGATTCATCACATGAATACAATTCCACAGTAATCAATGATCGTTAAGATTCCTTAAATAATATTACCATGGTGAATATCCCTGATTGATATTCATAAGACGCCACCAGAAGATCATAAGTTATTCTCTTGATTTTGGATGAAATAGATATTTTCAATGGTCACATTAATACTCATCATACCAGTCGAGTATGAATACTTTATCGACGTTATGATATTTTCTTAAACACTGAGCCGCAACAGACACATTGTTGAAGAAACAGAATCCCATGGCTTCATCTATTTCTGCGTGATGTCCAGGTGGCCGCACATTTGCGAAGCCATTGGTCACAATTCCCTTGATCACGGCCGTACACAATTCAATTACGCCCCCGCAGGAAAGCCGTGCACAAAATGCTGTTTCACTATTTAAGTAAATCGAATTAAATTCATCGGAGATTTTCGCCAACTCGGAATCTGTTTTTTCTAATTATAGTATTAAATGTTATTAAAAAGTTAGATAATGCTTGATTTGTGAAATTGAGATAAAGGTAATTTTATTATGGCCCAACTTACTGTGTAAACGCTTAGTATAGGCCTTTAATTTTATATAAATTAACAATTTTTCTTACCTGAGGTCCTATTCACAAAATCCCAGTGTTCTGGGGTGTGTACAAGACAGGCCTCTTCGGCGGTGACTTCGCGGGCCTTTATGTATATCATTCTTTCGAGACAGCCGGCCTTGATTATGGTTTTCTGAATTGAATAAATCCTGCTTGGATCCTCAGGATGATGCTCCTCCTCATGGATATTACCATGATATCGCATTCGGTTATCATAAACAATACCTGTTTTAGGTGCGATGAAATTCGGAGGCATTGCCTGAACATCATTTTTGTAGCTATTATACGAGCTAAACCGATTTTCCCTGGTAACAGGTATATTTCCGGATTCTATAAGAACATAGGGTTTGCCATCGGTTCCATCGATATCCATACCATCTAACATGTCGGTGATATCGCTAATATAAACGAGTCAAAAAGGAAACAAAGTATATAATTAATAAATGTAAAAGATCAAAAGAAAATTTTATATTTTTACTTTTTTTCAAAATTTCCAGCTTTTATTTATACCTGATTAAAATTGCAACAAAAAAGTTCGTGTAACCAAATATTACCTTTTAAAGTAAGCACTTAACCTTTTTTAGTAAAGGCCTTGAAAGTTTTTATTATATTTTATTTTATTTTGAAACAAATAATATTTTATTAATATATTTTAATTATATTTATAATGATATTTTAAAAATATCAGTATTTAATTACTTTTCAAATTAATAGGTCTGTTGTATAATAATATATTACATACATCTATTATCCAATTAATATTATTTTATAATTTCAATATTTTTTATTATTTTTAACAAAATTTAAATTATTTTAAAATAAATAGATTAAACATATATATTATATTATTTAAAAAAAATTTTTTTTAACTCATAACTATATCATTATAATATATTTTAGTTGAACATTAAATAACTATTTACAATATTATTGTGTATAAACTATTTATATAATACTTAATTTATTATTATATATTATTAATTGAAAAACTATATTACTTAAAAAATATAAAAAGTTCATTAATTTAGTTTGAATTAAACAAAACAAAGTCTAAACTAAATACTTTAAGTTGATTTTAAAAAACAATATTCTATTTTTCTAGTAAATTAATATTCAATTTCTATTTATTAGAATCATTATTAATAATTTATTATTATAAATTATTTTAAAAAATAATAAATTGTTAAATTAAACTATATAAAAAAAAACCAATTCAAAACTTTTAAAAAATTTTTTGAAATTATATAAAAAAAAGACAATTTAAAACTTTTTAAAAAATTTTTGATCAATTTAATAATTTTTTTTAAAAAAGATATATTTAATTAAAATGTTTTCTGGTTTCAATTTATTTAAAAAACTTTATTATTTCTATATAATAAAACTTTCTTAAAAATATTTAAAAATTTTATTTCTTAATCAATATATGGTTACTTTCAAAAGTTTAAGTCTACTTACTATGTTTTTATTATAAATTTCAACTTTGACAATTTTTAATTCATTAATTATGCAATCAAATTATTATTATTTTTTTTTTTTTGAATAATATAATGAAGCCCAGTTTTATTAAAGTCGATAAAATAGCCTTACATATATAGCTACTAATATATAAAGTGATTCTATAATCAGTATTTACTGTTAACTATATACAAGCATATGCATTCCACCCTTATATCAAAGAAATCTGATTGATTACATAAGCTCCATTATGACTTGTTACCAGAAGAAGCTATACCACCTCCCTCCTATATCTGTATTATCTTTCCCCTACTCCAGGATCTGTAACACAGGACCCTTTCATATCTCGTCCTACTGAATATTCTTTTTATAATACTTATTACAGTATACCTACGGAATATCCACGTGAAGTCTTAGATATTATCTCATCCCGCCAGAGTACTTTTTTTACATGACTTATTACAGTCTGCCTATGGAGTGACTATGTGAAGTTTTGGATGGATATCGATTTGATAGAGACCTTCTTCTAACTAACATGCCTAAGCTCTATTAGCCTCCTCGAATTATGGTGTACAGATCTTCAATCTATCTACAGGAGCTTGTAAGAACTTGTCTTGTGACAAGGTGACTTTAACACTAAAACTGGCTGAAGCATCTTATGATCTTTTTGATTATTTCATAATCGGATGGGATCTTGACCAGAGGTGACAGTGATTATCATAATGGAATGGATGTGATCTTCCTGTACTATCTAGGCTTTAGGTGGTACTGTCTCGCAATGGTATTGAACTCAGAAGCAGTGCATGGAAACCTGAGAGCACTACCACTATGCTATTGACCCACAGGTCTAATTATGTAGTCAAATTATGAAATTCATATATATTACATATTGATTTTTTTTTTTTTTTTTTTAATCTGCAATTATGTTACAATGATATATCTTTATTACGATATTGAAAAATATCACAAAGTTTACAAACTTTCACAAAGTGACTAACTTGTTATTATATATTATTAGTTAAAAGACTACACTACTTAAAAAATATAAGAAATCCACTAAACTAGTTTAAACTAAACAAAACTAAGCCTAAATTAGATACTCTAAGTCAAATTTTGGAAACAATATCTCACTTTCTTAGTAGCTTAATATTAGCCTCTAAGTCAATCAGGATTATTGTCAATAGTTAGTCACTGTTGATTATCCTGAAAAACAATAAATTGCTAAAGTTAATACTAGAAAAAAAAGAGAAAATGAAAAAAAAAAAAAAACAATTCAAAACCCATCAAAAGGTTTTTGCTTCATTTCATAGTTTCCTTTCAAAAGGGGTTTGCCTGATTGGGATATTCTCTAAGCTTCATAATATTTGAAAAATTTAATTATTCTCAAAAGTGACTTTAAGAAGAATATTTGAGGAACTTATCTTTTTGCAATATACAGATTTGCTTAATACTACTGGAGCCAGCATCATATTATGGAAAAGTTTGCCTAATCAGGATAAAGAAATCTTTTCAAGAATCTTGTCTGACCAGCATAAAAGCTTGGAGACCTTAACTTTTATCCAGGAAAGTCTTTTTACCACCTAAGGAACTTAGTGAGAAATGGAAGTTGGATCTTCTTTTCCTACCTGTCACTTGCCTTTTGGTATTATAATTGTTTCCTGGAGATTCAATTTATACAATTAGAGAGGATACTTTTTCTAAAACTTTCCTTCCTACATCACCAATGATATATCGAGACATGTAAGTGGACCAATATGAGCTTATTTACATTCTAAAAACTGACATGTTTTATACCAATCAATTACCTTTGGTAAGAATTTGTGTTATTCAAAATTTAGGGTCAGATTGAGATAAGTAAAATTTCCCAGAAAATCATAAAAATGGGAGTTTTAAGAGGACCAAGACAGTCAAAAAGAGAAAAAATAAATCTCTTTACTACAGAAAACCTCTATAAATCTCTCGCTTCAAAGATTAGAAAGATCTTCAGGTACTTCACAGTCAGTTCTTCTTTCGTTGAGAACTTTCTTACCATTGTTAACAAAGGTATTACTTGACTTTTCTTGATCACTAAAAGTTAAGTTTTTGAGTAAAGAGATTTATAAACAATAGAGGAAAGGTAGAAGTGACTCTTGAAGTCATACTTCAAGTTGTTTTAAGAAAAGTATTAAGACTTTATTAGCAAGGAAGTGTAAAAACTTCTTGCAAACATTTTTTTTGTGTGTAATTAGAGGATCTGCAAAAAAATATATATTATCTATTGATACTTATTCTATTTCTTATATTTTTTTAAAAAAATTTTTATTAATATATTCTAAAGTTTTATTATTATTAAATATCTTTATTTTTTTATTAATTATTATATAATTTATGATAATAGCCAATCAAAATTTTTTAAAATTAAAAATTTAATAAAGGAGGAGATTTTTTAACAATAATAAAACTTTAAAAATTATATATAAAAATTTTTTAAAAAAAATAAAATAAATAAAACTAGTGTTAAGATATAATATATATAAATTTTATAATTTTTAGTTGTATAATTATGGATTTAAATTTGTTAAAGTTGAAATTTATAATAAAATCATAATAAGTAGACTCAAAATTTTAGAAGCAACTGTATAACTTCTTTTATTATATCTTTTGTATTAATATTATATTAAAAATATTTATTCAAAAAAAATAAAGAAATTTTTTTAAAAACTTTATTTAAATTAAATAAAAATTAAAAAATTTTAATTTTCTTTTCAAAAAAAAATTTTTATTACTTAAAAAACTTGATGAGAAATAAAAATTGTTATATTATATAATTATTTATAAAATTTTTAGTATTATTATTTTTTTTTTTTTGTTTAATTGAATTTTTTTAATTATTAATAATAATATTAAAACAATAAGTAAAATTAAAAAAAAAATTTTTTTTTTTTAACCCTCAATCATGTCACAATAGTGTGTCTTTATTGAAATATTAAAAAATACCACAATATTTACAGGCTTTCACAAAGTGACTAATTCATCGTTATATATTATTAGCTAAAGAACTATATTACTTAAAAAATATAAGTTCACTAAGTTAGTTTGGACTAAACAAAACTAAGTCTAAACCTGATACTCTAAGTTAGATTTTAGAAACAATATTACACTCATCTAATAATTTGGCATTATTCTCTAAGTCAACTAGGATCATTATCAATAGTTTGTCACTATTGATTATCCTGAAAAATAATAAATTGCTAAAGTTGACATTAGAAAAAAAAAGGAAAAAGGAAATATAATTCAAAGCTTTTTAAAAGATTCTTATTCCATTTCACAGTTTTTTCTTGAAAAGGGTTTGCCTGATTTGGATATTCTCTAAGCTTCATGATATTTGAGAAACTTAACCATTCCTAAAAATGATTTTAAGAAGAATATTTGAGAAATTTACCCTTCTGCCAATATATGGATTCACTTAATGCTACTGGAGCCAGTACCATATTATAAAAGAGTTTGTCTAATCAAAATAAAAAAATCTTTTCAAGAACTTTGCCTGACCAGGATAGAAGCTTAAAGATCTTGGCTTTTGTTCAAGAAAGTCTTTTCACTACCTGAGGAACTTAATGAGAAATGAGAGTTGAATCTTCTTTTCTTATCCATTATTCACCTTTCAGTATCATAATTGTTTTTTGGAGATTAAACATATATGATTGAAGAAAACATTTTTTTTTAAAACTTTCTTTCCTATATTATCAATAATGTATCGAGACACATGAGTATGACCAATAGGAGCTTGTTTATATTTTAATAACTGATGTGTTTTATATCAGCCAATTATCTTTGGTGGATTTCTTATATTTTTTAAGTAGTGTAGTCTTTTAACTATTAATATATAATAACAAGTTAGTCACTTTGTGAAAGTTTGTAAACTTTGTGATAT